TTAATAATAATTATTATTTAAATAAATAATATTATAAATAAATAAAATATATTTAATAAAAATTTTATATTATATAAAAATTAAATATTAATTTTTAATTTTTAATAAATATAAAATTTTAATTTAATTTAATTTTAAATAATTTTTACTTTAAAATTATATTAGTTTTTTTTATTATATTACTTTTTTTATTATATCTATTATAATTATTAAATATTATTAATTTATATTTTATAAATTATATATAAATTTAAAAAAAAATATTATTAAAAATAATTTTATAAAAATATTTAAAATAAATAAACTAAGTATTAAAAGAAAGTATAAAAAGCTCTATAACTAGAATTATAACAGAGTAAATGTATAGATATAGTAAATACTATAAAAAAAATTAATAAATAAAAAAATATATATAAAATTGAATAGTAGTTAATTATTAAATCTTTTAAAAAAACTTCAGAGTTTCAAAATATTTATATATATAAATAAGTAGCAATAGATTTTATTTTTAATTTTTCATAAAATAAGAATTTTTTATAAAGTGTTAATTCTATTCTTCAGAAAGTACTAATTCTAAAGAATTAATTTTTAAAAAATACTGATCTGTGTTAGGCTCAGCGCCGGGGCTTGGTGCTGAGGGGGCCTAGGTGTGGGATGGTTGAACCTTCTATTCGGTGGAGCTAGCTAGGTTATTGCTATATTACATACAAGTGATCACGTGTGGGCGGGGTGGTCGTTAGGGCAACACCAACACCACCCAGGTGGGCGCTGCTACACCCCCCCTCCATCACCATGCAGGATCTTGAATGCCATATGTGAAAAAGGAAAAACTAGCTATGCCATCCTCAAATTCATCCAAATCATGCTACATACATTAAGTTTGAACATTCCTGTCTTTTCCACCTGTAAAATCAAGTAAATCAAGGAATTGTTGAAATGTCAATGTGTTTAGAGATTTAGTCAATCTATCTGCTGCCATTTCTTCAGTTAAGATGTATTCAATTGAGATAATGCCGGAATCACATGTTGATATGCTTGCTCCTAGCAGTGATTGTGACTACAGTGGCTAGATTGATCACATCTTTATTATCTGTCTTGATTGACAGGGGGTTATCTGCTATAAAGCTCAGATCCATCATCATACTTCTTAATCACATTGCTTCACATATGGCCTTACTTAATGCCATGTATTCAGCCTCATTGGAACTCAAAGAGATGCATGACTGCTTGCTTTATCACCATGAAATTGACACACTGACAAGCATAAAAACATAGTTAGATATAGACTTTTAATCATCATTCAATGAGCCAGCTCAGTCAGAATTCATGTATTCAACTAACATATATGTCATGTTCAGGAATTCATTCTCAGGTCCTTTATCATCATCATCCTTCATGTAAAATATGCTGATTTCACACATGTCTTTCAAATATTAAATGATGTGTAATAGAGTCTTTCATGTATTAAAGGTAGAGGTGGCATTCTTCTATATCAATAGAAAAGCTATGTGAGTGATATTCAGCTGCAGTTTAACTGCCAAATACTGCAAGCAGTCAACACAGTGTCAGAATCACTGTTTTGTAAAATCAGTCTCATTTTCAGAAACAGAAGAGTCATTCAAGTGTAGACTCTCATCCATAGGCATTCAGACAGTAGTTGCATCATCCAGGTGGAAATCTTTTATCAATCAATCAATATAACATCAGAGAGTCAATTTGATGCTGCCATTCATACATTTTACTTCCATGCTTAGATATTTTGTGAGTTCATTCAAATCTTTGATCTCAAGCTTCTAGTGCAGAATATCAACTAGTCAATCAGCATTCTTTAGAGTGTCCACAAAAATATGAAGATCATCAATATATATAGTCATATATAGATGTTTTCAAGCTGAATGCTGCCAAAGAGCAGAATCATAAGAACTTGAGATAAAGCTGTTCTCTTATAGCAGAGCTGTCAAGTAATCATATCATATTTTGACAGTCAGATTCAACTCATATAGAGATTCTTCAACTGCACAAACAAGTGTATGTGAAGCTTCTTCTTTGAAGTCAGTAGATTGTCTCATATAGACTGTTTTTTCAAGTCTTCTGTGTAAGTATATCATCACTATATTCACCTGCTGTAGAGTCTAATCACATTTTGCAGTGATTGCAAACATTATATGATTTGTGATATCTGTAACTACAGAGATGTATATTTCTTGATGTGTTCTCTTTTTGAATCAATTGTCATAAATTACTCATCTGAACTTTCACAATATATCATCTTCATCAGCATTGAGGTCACTGAGATGATTCTTTTCAACAAAGACCTAGCAGCTAGATGCCACTGACTAACTATGAAGAACATCAGAACATAAAATTAATGTTCAAGTCTTTTGACATTTAAAATTGTCAATTTCATGTTGCATAGATTTCCTTCAATATAATCTCATCTATGAATAATTAATTGCATTCTTGAAGCTTTTCAGCAAGTCACCTGTAATTGAGAAAGATGTGTACATCATGAAGGCTTTCATAGATCTCATTTATGGAATATGTGGTTCTGAAAAATCAGGAATATTAGAATCATCCTCCATCAAATAGATGATAGGGGTCAGAGTGTTTTCAGCTTCAATTGTTGCAGTAGTGATGAAATTCTTTTGTATTTCCTGCACTTTTGTATAAAAAATCACATCAGATATATCAAAAATCTTATCAGAGATAGGACTCTACATACAATAGATTGACTGGCTGTAGAATTCAATAAGTTTGCATAATTCAGTCTGAGCAAACAGCTTATCTGTCAGCTTTTGTGATCCATGAAGCTGGACAAAAACATTAGATTCAAGCTTGCAGAAGTGAGTGATCTGTGATAATGCATTCATCAATGCTGAAAAAGAAATTGTATAAGAACTACAGATGAGCTCCTTGCTGTCATCATTTATGATTGCAGGTCAATACTTCTCATTATATAGAATTGCAGATGTGGGTGTATTATTCATGATTGAAACAACTGTTTCTATAATATCTGCTCAGAACTTCTTTGAAATGTCCTTTTCTATAATGATTGCTCTGACTCATATCATAATGATGCAGATGTTATATTCAGATATACCATCTTGATGAGGTGATTGAGAAGTAGTTGATTCTCACACTATGCCATCAGCAATCATTAATGTTGTCATCTTTTGTGAATGAAAAACCTCATCTACATCTATTCTGATGTAGGTAGAGGCTGAAAAACTGAGATTTTTAATGAACTTAATTTAATGAGAATAATAATCAAATGCTTGATCTTTGCTATTTAGGAAATAGATTCATCTGAATCATGTCACATCATCTGTGATTAATATAAAATATTTTATGCCTTGGCAAGATTCTATAGGATGATTGTCTGTATCACTCAACATATGATCACCACCCACTAGATCAATATAGATTCATTCCATTAGCCTTACAGCCTATGGCATGAGGGTGATCAAGTATTTACATGTCATACCTGCTTTGACACAGGTATTGCAAAAGAAATTAGTCTTGAGGCCCTTGATATGAATATCAGATAGTGGATTCTTTGCCAAAGCTATAATGACTCTCATGTGTATATGCCTCAGGTCAACATGCTACTCAGCAAGTGTTTTCATGACTGTAGGTGATTCTTGAGATTGAAGTTGAGCATTGGTAGGATTGTTGTTACCAGTGATGACCAAGGCCTTAGCATAATCATTGTCATATATATGTGATTTTGCTGTGAAATAGATTGCTTTTGACTCATAATGAGTGTCAACTGCCAACATCCTTTCAACTATTTTATAAATTGAACTCTGAGCTGTGTGAATCACAGTAAAAATAATGCCATTGAGGGCCATGATGATGAAGTAGGACAGGGTGTTTGAATTTAAAAGTTCATATTGAAAACTCTAATCCTTCAACTTAGCAAAAGACACTAAGTTGACAGTAAGATTCAGAACATAATGAACATCATATATAGATATATTCTCTCTATCAGATTCTAGAATAAAATTTTCAATCTTTTTGATATGATCATATTTATCATCTGCTATATGAACCTTGAGATCACTGTCATAGATTTTCTGTTAAATAATAGACTACTTTTCCCCTGTCATATGAAAACTTGCACATGTGTTAAGAAATCAAGACTTGAAGGTAATGTCAGTGATTGCTGACAGAGCAATTGCAGCATTGACAGTAGCAGGTTATATCACTAGAAGGTCAGAAGATTTGTTCTTTTTATCATTCTTATTCTTTTTTTTGCTCTTCTGTTTATTGTGACTGCTGGTGTTGCTATTTTCTGTGAACTTGACAATCTTATTCTTATTTGCCTCCCTTCACTCTTCAGTGACAAGTTCAGGGTGTAATTGCCAATAAAAGTTCTTAACATGCTGATTTGAGTGGTAGATCTCACATTTAGAACTATTTAAGGTAGCTGTGTTGACTCATGAAGGTTTGAAGTGTTCATTGAACTTGCTTATACAATTCATTAACTGCTTCATGAGATCATCAATGTCAATATTTTTAATAGAGTCCTGGCTGATCATATAGAAATCATTCAAATGTGTCTTGACAAAAGACTTTTGATGTTCTTTCAAATCAATAAGGAAAAGATCATGATAGAAGTCCTCTGAGTTGTTCATCAGTTCCTTATGATGTGCAACTAAGTAGCAGAATCTTCTTTGAAATGCTAAGTAATTATTGTTAACATGTAGAGTAGTCAACTCCTTCATGACATTGAGGCATTCTTCTGTCAAAGACACTACATATTCAACATCAATCTTTTTCCATAATGCAGCAGTGTTGTCAGGTTTCAAGACTCCAATGATTGTACATATGAGCCCCAATAAGAATTACAATATACATCAATAGAGTGCTTTGATTTAAATATTTCATTTTTCAGTGTTCAACATGTTTTGACTAATATTATCTGGGCAGATGTGTTGCTTCTTGATTAGAATGTCAGTTCCACCAATGACTTCAGCATCTGTAAGAATTCCCATACATCAAGTTTGATAATTAGTGTCATCAAATGTAGTTACAGCCTTAGTATCCATAGCTCTTTGGACATTCTTTTGATATTCACAGATCTGAGATTTGAAATCATTCACAGATGTATCATTGTTGATATTTGAAGTGTTCTGACATGTCATTTGTTGACAAAAGATCAACAAATCTGCTACACTCATTGTAATCATACTATTCATGTTAAGAGTAGGCATTTGAGACTATGGGCTTAAGATTCCTTCACTAGCTGCTGTGAATTCACATATAGACTTAGGAGCAGATGTTTCACCAGGCTCATGGCTTGATGAATTTATGGTGCAGTTTAAACTTGGTTCCTGCTTCAGGCCTTCTAATTCTTCATTCTTGTCTAGTGATGGGAACACTTCAACAGCTTTAGAATGTGATTGTAAAGATTGTTTTCTCTCTGTTAAAGAGATAAATAGTTCAGTCATTAGATTAGAGAGTGAACTCATTCAGACATGTACACAGCTGTTCTTAATATGATTTTTATTAAAAACCAGCTATTCAGACTATAACCTGTGGGATGGTTGAACCTTCTATTCAGAGGAGCTAGCTAGGTTATTGCTATATTACATACAAGTGATCACGTGTAGGCGGGGCAGTTGTTAGAGCAATGCCACCTAGGCAGGCGTCATTACAATTACATGTGAGGCAGAATCATGTGATGAAGATAAATTTAGTCTCAGTGCTGAGTCTAATAAGTATCAACTTGTGAAAAAAACTTTTCTATTTAAAATATAATTTTTAAAGATATCAAAAACACTATAAGTATGAGTATAGATAATATTTGCAATATCTTCTATAGTAATATCTTTTGTATATAAAATGTATAGAGTATATTTAATTAATATATTAACTAAAATAAAAATTGTATTATAGATTTTATCTAGTTAGATGATGACTAAAAAATCAGTAATGAAGTTCATAGTAATAATTTATTATAAATTAATTAATATTGAAATTGAGTTAAATTTATTATAATATTTATAATAGCATACTTTTATTCTCTGATAAGTATTATAAGTATGAATATATTAGTAATATCTCAGATAATATTATACCAATAGTACTTATTTTAAATATATTCAATAAATTATTTTGTATTAAAATAACTCTCTTGTGAGTTATTATAATTAATGTGAATTATCTCTTTAATCAGCATATATTGCAGCAGAATATAAACTCTATTATTTATATAAAGTAAACTGTCTTTTAAAATGATTTAGAATATATCACTATTTAAAATTATATTTTTATCTTTTATCTTCTATTTCTTTACTATTGTATAAAAATCTAAATTCTATACTTTAATAAAAAGAGAGATAAGAGATTCTGATATATTTATATATGCTGATTTAAAGACTATAATAATATTAATCAATAATTTAAAAATATATTAATTTTTAAGATATTTTTTTAAAATTAAATTTTTCTCTTCTGAAAATTTTCTAATCAGTATATTTAATGATTTCAATGAGTATAATATAATCTTGTTAATAAGTATATAATGCAGAGATTAAAAAAAGTCTGCACTCAGAGCAGAAGTTAAAAGAGACTCAGAGCTCATAGTATTAATTTTAAAAGATTTTACATGAAATATATGCTTTTAATCATAGATTTATATGCAGTTAATGAGAATTATAAGTTTTTTATAAAAGTTAGATTATTAATTCTATTTGACACTATAATAGAGCTTCTGTTGTAAGATAGAAAATATAATCTTATCATGAAAAAAGTCAATGTAATCTACATAGTGACTGAGTCTATCAGCTGAATTTTATTTATTTAAATGATGATGCAAAATTAAATCATATACTGATAGTGCTTCTACTTATCTAAACTAACATAAATTCAATATTTTAGTTATTATAAAATACTGATGATTGATATGATTAGAATAGATAAAAATTAAATGATGACTTTCTTTCAAACAATAATATTAATTTTTAAAAGATGTGATAATTACAAAAAGTTTCTTATTATAAGTATTATATTATATTTCTATATATAGAAGTTTATAAAATTAGAATATAATTAAGTATTATTAATTATCATCTTATTTTTAAAAGATAATAACAGTTACTGCTGTTATAGAGATATCAGATTCAATCTGACTTTCTCAGCTTGAGTTACAATAAGTGAGTAGAGAAGTTTATATAAAGTATTTTTTTAAAGTATTGAAGATATATTTTATATTTTTTATTCATGTAAATTGCATATTTCACTTCTTCTTCTTTATGATCTTCATAATATCAAAGAGAACTTTCATAATTTTAAAGTAGTTTTCAATAAAGTAGTAATAGAAGTTTATAAATTTTAATAAAGTTTAAAATTTTTTTAATACTAGTTGAGATTATTCTATAATGATTATCATTTAATTTAATTTTATTTCAATATTATAAGATCTAATAATAAATTTTAAAAAGAAGATTTTATTTTTAATAAATTCATATTTAGTGTACTTTGCAAATAGATTTATATAATCTAGATATTTAAGTATTTTTTGTACATACATCTTATGCTCATTTATTGAGTTTGAATAGATAAAAATATTATTTAGATAAATCACATAGTATATGTTAAGAAAATCTACTATAGTATAACGTATATAAATTTGAAAGATGACAGAGATATTTATAAGCTCAAAAAATATAACATTATACTTAAAGTAACTGTATTATATGTGAAATACTATTTTTCATTTATTATTATATTAAATGAATATTCTGTAATAAATATCTTTAAGATTAATTTTAGAAAATACTTGAAATTTAAATAATCTATTTAGTATTTTATCTACAAAATATAATGAATATTTATTTTTAATTATGAGATAATTCAGATCTCTATAGTCTATATAAAGTTACAAATTTTTATTTTTCTTTGAAATAAAAAAAATAAAAGTATTTACAAATCTCTGAGAAGAAGATATTTAATTTTTTTTTAATTTATTATTTAAATAATTCTGAAGAGTTTTTAACTCTATTTTAAAGAAATTGTATATAAATATAAATGAAAATTTAACTTCTTCTTTAAGATTAATTAAGTGCTTCGCATCAAATATATATATACTGAATGCTTTTTTTTTATAGAAAATATATATATATAATCTAATATAGTTAGGTAGATTATCAATAAAAGTTGAATTTATGAGTAAGCTATCTTCTAAAAATATTAAAATTTTAGAGAAAGAATAAAAGATTTATATAAAGATTTAAGAATTTTTAGCATAAAGCTCAGAGATGAATGTAAAGTTTTTGAAAATTCTAATGAGAAACTCCGAGATCAATAAGATTAAAACAGATACTATTATAAGTATATAGTTAAAAATATCAGTGAGTAATTTATTAGCAATATCTATTATACTTAGATTTATCTTTTGATTGTTTGATTTTTAATAAATATAGAATTTTTATCTTTTTAATTAATAAAAAAGTTGAATTATTTGAATCAGAGAAATTATAATATCATATTATAGTTTGAAAGTTTAATAATATAAAAGAAGTGAAATTTTCTAATTATAGTTTTCTTGCTATCTAAAATATCTATTTTTAAATTAATAATTTCAAATTAGTATATTTAATAATTGTAAAAGGTTAAGCTCTAAGAACTAGAGGCTAGTCCTCCTATATAACAAGGACAAATTGCTTGAGAAAGGAAAGAAAAGAATGAGATAAAAACTCAAGCTTAAGCAAGCTCATGTAGCATGATCACATGCACATATGCAAATGATGACTAGGCTGAGTCAGTCAGTCAGAGCAAATCTAAAGGTTCAACCTCTTATAATTCTCTCCTTCTTCCTCTTTGTTGCAGGCCTTTACAACTATTTAAAGTCCTCTTTATATCTAATTTTGCCTGCTGAGAGGCCTCTCATGTGTTCAAAGCCTTCACTTCTTGTAGAAGACTTACATCATTCTATGTAGACTCAGCTCAATCTACTCATTTAATGAGGTATTGCTTTTTTCTCTGATAGGTTCATTCATTCTGAATTTCCTCAATCTCAAACTCAGGTCCTTTCAGAGTCTCTATAGTGAGTGACTGTCAGTCAGTTTGCCTCTGACTAGGCAGGAGATTCATCACCACAGTATGTAGAAGCTTTATATTAAAGATATTGTGAATGTCAGATGAAATATTCAGTCAGTAAGTATAAAATTCTATCTTTTCTAGCACAGTATATTGATTGTATTTCACATTCAGCTTCTTGCACAGACAATTAGTTCTTATGATTCCTAAGCTCAACCAGATCTTCTCTTCAGGTTAAAAGCTTGAAGCTGAGTCTCTTCATCTATTCATATATTTCTCTTGAGATTGCTGAGCATTTATCATTTTTACTTGAGCTCACTTCAACACTTCATGAGTCTTTCTCATATAATCATCTGCAAACTCAATGAGATTATATGATATTTCAATAGGAAGTACATCAGCTATATTAATGAAGAAGACATAGAAAAGATGTGTTAAAAAGAATGAGCTCATGCCTGTTGAGACAGCATCTCTATTATTGATGACCAGCTCTGCTAGAGGGAGTCATTCACACCAGTCATCCTGTTGAAAGCTAATATACTTGCATAGGTAGATTTCTATGATCTGATTCATTTGCTCTGTAGCTCCATCAGTCTCTGAATGATAGACTGTGAAGAGTCATCTTTTAATGTCTAATTTCTCACATATTTGAGTTCAAAACATGCTTGTGAAAGCTGACCCTTGATCTGACACTACTACCTTAGAAATGCCATGTTGAGAAATGATGTTATGAAGTAACACTCTAGTCACTATCTCTGCATCAGTTTTCTTAACTGCTTTTAATATAACTCCCTTGATCAGTCTGTCTATTATAATCATAATATTTGTATATTCTTTAGAGCTTGATAAGTTCATAATAAAGTCTATGAAAAGCTCCTGTCATATGCATTCAGAAATGAGGAGAGGCTTAAGCAGTTTCTGATGTTGATCTCTTCATGCAGTGTTTGATCTGCAAAGATGACAGTTCCTGATCATTCTTCTCATATCAGCAGCATAGCCTGGTCAGTAGAACTCACATCTTAGAACTTCTGCTATTTGCTCTCACCTAGGATGACTAGTAAGAGATGAGTTATGAGCCTCATGCACTAACCTGGTTTGAAGAGGTTTGAAGTCTGACACTCACTTATGATCTCAAATGAGAAGCTCTCTGTTCTCATTTAAAAAGCACTCAGAGATGAAGATCTTAATACTGAGTTCAAAAGAAAAACTGAATCTTTCCTCATGAAGAATTTGCTCCAGATGCTGTAGAATCTTGTCATTTTTGTGAGCCTCATTTCACTGAGCTTGAAGAGACATCTCAGGTTTCACACTAACAGCAGCCACTATTGATTTCATTTCAGATGCCAGTATGTTAAACTTAAGTAGTTGAGCTTGCCTCTACTTGATTCTCTCATCATCAGTGCTCTGT